ACCTCCGGGCGGGGTCGCCCTGGGCCGCGTGCCGAGGGGCCCGCCTCTTCCGGCCCCGGAGGCAGGCCTCCCCTCCGCCCTGCTCCGACGGCCGCCCCGGGGCCCTGGCGACCCGACCATGGGCCGCAAGAAGAAGACGCTGCAGGACTACGCGGCGGAGTTCACGGACCTGGTGGTGAAGCAGCGCCTGGTTGAGCACGGCGACTCCGGCGACACCTCTGTGGTGGAGACTCTCTGCTGCAGGGCGTGCGAGCTCCCCATGCGGGTGCGGAGGGACCGCATCCTGGAGCACCTGTCGTCGGGCAGGCACTACCGGAACCGCAGGCTCGTCCGGCAGCACGGCGCGCGGACGCCCATCCTCCTGTGAGTGTCACCCTCGGCCCTGCACGGCAGCGGGGCGTGCGAGCCGCGCGGGGTGGCGGGGCGTGCAGCCCCAGGGTCCTCGGCCCTGCAGAGGACTGCTCGTTACGCGGACACGCCGCCGGACTGGGCACTCGTTGCCATACCCTGCGGGTGGCTTGTCCGTGTAGGGTGCAGACCCTGTGATGTCTTGGAATTGCACGCGTGGTCCGTTCTGGTGAGCCGTGCCCGGCTATGAAAACGCTTCACTGAAGGATTCCCCACTGTTAACCGTCCGGGATGATTGGTGGGCCGGATACTGAGTCCCCCCACTCTCTGTTAAAACGGATTTCTCTTCTGTCCAGCTCAGCGGCCTCGGACCTTGCCGCAGCCGGCCTTCCCGTGCACCTGGGTCACCCGTCTCTACTCCCCCAGCCCCCATGCCTGCTCTCAGGCGATCCCAGCATCACCAGCACCTGCATGGTGCCCCCTCCTCCTGCAGGCCACACATCTCTCCTCCCCGTACCCCCGGCTGCCATCAGCTCCACCATCAGCGACGCGTCTGGCCAGGAGGACCAAATGCCATCTACCTCCACTAGCCACCTTTCAGCGTTTCCTGCCGTCCTAATGAAGAGGCCCTCGGTGCTCTCAAGGCAGACCAACCACAGACCGGTTTCAGAAGGCTCCAGCAGTGCCATGTCCAGAGGTGGCGTGAGGTGGCTTAATGAGAGCGGAGCTGGGGCGTCCAGCCGCCTTGGCCTGGCTGTCTTTGGGGTAGGGTACGGTAGTGCGGCGCTGTTGCAGAGTCTGACAGAGGAGAACAGCTGCTTCCTGCTTTACGTCGTCGAGGATCAGCTGTGTGAAGTGCAGCGGGCCTTCAGAGCCGAGCATTTGGCCCACACGAGGGTGATTCGAGAACAGGACGCAGACATTGTCCTCAACGACCAGCGGTAGGTTTCAGTTGGCTACAGAGGTGTATTGAACACCTGCCATGTGCCCGGCACTGTTGTAGGGCTGGAGGCACGGCTCCTAGTGCAGCAAAGTCCCCACCTTTGTGCCACTCAGGGTGGGGGAGGCAAGGGGCGGCTGGTAAGAGTGCTGTTTTAGATGAGATGGCCGGGAGGGGGGATATTGGAGCAGAGACCTGAACGGGTGAGTCAGTTGGCTGTTCAGGTCTGGAGATGGCACTTTGGGCAGAGAGGGTCCTCCTGAGGCTCTGATGCAGGTGTGCCTGGCTCATTTGGGAATGGCAGCATGGCCATGTGGCAGGAGCGCAGTGAGCTTGGGGTGAGGGCTGGACAGTGAGGTGCCACACATAAGGAGCGTGGGGGGCACTCGGAGGCTTTGGGTGCTGTTCATAGAGTGTTGGGAAGCTTCTGGGGCTTGGGCAATGCTGGCAGGCTGGCTTCAGGATGACAGCATTGCTCCTACAGGTCCTCCATTGCCGCGGGACACCAGGCCCTAGGGGCTGAAGTGGCGGGGAGGCAGGGAGACCAGAGAGGGACATTTCAGTAATTTAGGGGAGCGTAATGGGCCTGGACCAGGTGGCACTGTGGCTGGATTTGGGATATTTTGAATGTAGAGCCTTCGAGATTGGTGCTGGCTTCCTTCCTTAACTTGCACAGCTGAGCCTGACATAAGCCACTCAGCCTGGGTAGCAGTATCTCCAGCGCTGAGTATAACACTGGGAGTGGCGTCTACACTTGTTGCCAACGCCATTTGGTATGACAGCAGCTGACTTAGCTTACCCAGCAGCAGCCCAGCACAGTGTCAGTTGCAGCCGTGGTATCAAGAGCTGGGCTTGGCACCCCCAGTGTCTCTGTCACAGAGCTGGCCGGTGCCACCTGAAGATCAGGCCTAGTCCACTTTTGGGCTCTCCAAGTTCACTCTGGTGTTTATAGCTCCCACCCCAACTCCAGCTCTCCCATATTTTTAACTACTCTTAATATTAAACATAAGCTTTATAATATATCAAGGGGAAAGTTTAATTCCACCTTGTTAATGCACGTATAGTGTTCTGAAAATATTCAGCTGGACGGTGTTGTATGATAGTAAAGCCTCATGGTCATCGCTGAAGCATGTTCATGAACATTTAAATCTGCATGTTTTTGGAAAGTTGTACACGTGACATTATCTTAGGACTCCACTCTCGACTTAGGAAAGTTTTCACACTTTTTTTTTTTTTTTTTCCTTTTTGTCTTTTTTCGTGACCGGCAACGGATCGCAACCCTCAGTGTCGCGCCCATACCGGCCTAGGACCGGCCACGGGATCGCAACCCTCGGTGTTGCGCCCACCCCTCGCTCAGCCAGTGAGCGGCCAGTCTGTATGGGATCCGAACCCTCGGTGGGAGCGCCACCGCGCTTCCCAAGCAGCGCACTATAGCAGTGCGCCACCGGGCCGGCCCAAAGTTTTCACACTTTTAACTGAAGTGCCACATGTGTAGAGTGCACACATGTGCTCACACACAGTGTACCAAGAGGAGCTAACATGCAGTCGAGCGCCCACCTTGGGCGTTTTTGCAAACTGAGCAAACCCATGTGACTCCAGCCAGCCCCAGAGCCCCAGGCTCCCTGCCAGTCTGCACCCAAGGCTGACCCCTGCCAGCCGAGGAGGAGGTCCAAGCAAGGATGGACATCATTCTGAGAATCTTACTAGTTACTGTTCACTCACCAGGGTCTGTGATCTGAATTTACAAGTTAAATTCAGAAACAAGTCATGCTTACTGGATGTGCCTTCACAGTTCACCCCGCTGAGCGTTTTCCTTCAGTTACTCTCATGTGCCTGAGATGGGGTATGGAGTGGTGTTAACAGCATGGGTTCCGGAACGTTCTGGCTCTGCAATTGAAGATCTCTCCTAAGGTTCTGTTTTATTCCCACAGTGTCTCTGGAGTTGTGGTCTGTTCCCCACCAGAGGCAGCTTCTGAAATAGTGATAGATGCCCTCCGAGCAGGTAAGGGCTGCAGCTCATTTTGCCCACCCCTGTGGTCACACGCTGTGTTTTCCAGTAGGCAGTGCCTGTCCACTGACGTGTGGGTGGGGGGCAGTGTCCGGTGGGTTTACATGAAAACAAAAAACCACATGAAATCAAGGAGGGTCCAAGAGGTGTAGTTAGCATTTCCCAAAACATATTCTTTTAGATCCTAGTCCATTGGAATGATAATTGGTGTTGTACTGGGGGAGGGAAGGTTTTTGTTCTTCAGTACATTTGGGGAAAAACAAGGTAATTAGGTAGACAAGGTAACTAACTAATGTGGCCTCTCCAACTTTACGTGTTCGTGGACACTTAGAATCTAGCATCTCCCAGTCATTTTGTGTGTGTGTTACTTTGTTTTGATTGTGCTAAAATACACAACACATAAAATTTGCCATTTAAACCATTTTTAAGTGCACCGTTCAGTGGCATTAAGCACATTCACACTGTTGTGTATTCATCACAACCGTCATCTCCAGAACTCTTCGTCTTTCCGAACTGAAATCCCATCCCCGTTAAACACTAGCCCTGCTGTCCCCTCCCTCGGCCCCTGGCACCCACCATTCTACTTCCTTCTCTCTGATTTTGGCTACTCCGGGAACCTCAAGAAAGTGGAATCACATGGTATTTGCCGTCTGTGACTGGCTTATTTCACTGAGCATGATGCACCTGAGGTTCACCCCTGTTGTAGCAGGTGTCAGGACTTCCTCCCTTTTTAAGGCTGAGTCATTGCGTTCTGTGCGTAGAGCACATTTTGCTTCTCCATTCGTCTGCCAGTGGACACTTGGGCTGCTTCCGTGTTTTGGCTTTTGTGGATAATGCTGCTATGAACGTGGGGGTACAAACATCTTTTGGATATTGCCAGTCGTATTTGACCTTTGTGTCAGTTGGTTAGTATGGGAAGCAGAAGCCATCAAGGCACTTGTCCAGCAGGAGACTTGCTGTGAAGAGCCATCACTGGAAGGACTGAGGATGGGGGCTCAAGGCCAGCTGGCCTCAGAGCGCTCCTCTGCCTCATCTAGGAAGACAGGGAGCAGGGCTGCCACCTGCACTATTGGGGTTGAGAGCCACCGTTCTGGGGGCCAGGACAACTCAACCACCTGACAGGATGCTGACAGCCGGACGCTGGGATGCTGTGCTGGTGACCCCTCTCTCCCCGGACCTGCCTTTGCACCTTTGGCAGAAATCAGTCTCTTCTGTTCCTCTGAGCGGCTGCCTGCTCTCTCCCCATCAGCACAGCGTCACGCTCTCCTAAGTCTTGAGATGAGGTTGCATGAGTCTTCCAACTTGTTCATTTTCAAAACTGTTTTGGCTCTTTGCAATCGTTTGCCTTTCCATGTACATTTTAGGATCATCCGGTTGGTCTCTACAACAGATTTCCTGCTAGGCTTTCACTGGAGTTGGGTTGATCTGTAGATCTGACTGGGGAGAATCGATGTCTTCACAGTAGAGGCGCAACGTGTCACTGCGCTACTGAGGTTCACTCTGGCTTCTCTCACCAGTGTTTTGTGTTTTTTGGCGTCCATATCTTGCACATGTTTTGTCAGGTATTGGTGCTTTTGTAAGTGACATACCGTTTTACCTGTCTATTTTCAGTGGTTCTTTGCTGCTGCTGTATATGGAAATGTGATTGAATTTTGTACACTGACCTTGTATTCTGTGACCTCCCTCAACTCACTCATTAGTTAGACCGGCTTTGTTGTAGACCTTCTATAATTTTCTGTGTTGACAATCATGTCTGAATAGAGGCAGCTTTCTCTGTCTCTCGCTGTCTCTCTCTCCTCTCTTCTTTTCCTCTGTCTCTTCCTCTCTCTTTCTCTGTCCCCGTTTCCTTCCCTCCCTCCTTCCATTCCTTCCTTCCTTTCTTTCTTTCTAGTATGCCTTTCTTTTTCTTACCAAATTGCACTGGCCAGGACCTGCCGTATGATGTTAAATAAGAGTTGTAAGAGGCTTGTCTTGCTCAATCTTAGGGTGTAGCATTCAGTCTCAGCATAATTGTGAATTTAGCATAAGTTCTATTAGGTTGAGAAATCACCTTCTACTCCTAATTTGCAGAGAGTTTTTATCATGAATGGATGTTGAATTTTGTCATGCATTTTTGGCATCTGTTGAGGTGATGTTCATGTTCTGGTGTGACACAGGCCTCACATTCCCAGGATGATCCCCACTTGACCACATTGTATTATCCTTTTCATACATTGCTGGATTTGATCTGCTGAATTTTTATTGAGAATCTTTGTGTCTCTGTTCATGAGGGATATTGGCTGTAGTTTTCTGTTTTTGTCATGTCTTGATCTGGTTTTGGTTTCAAAACGATTCTTGCCTCATAGGCTGGGTTGGTAAGTGTCCCCTCTACCTCCTTCAGTTTTCTGGAATTGTTTGTATAGAACAGGTACTATTTCTTAAAAATGTGAAAACCATCCTTAGCTCCCCAGGATGGGCACAGACTCACTGTAGCCTGCCGACCCTTGGTCTAGTTTCTTGAGCCAGAAGCTTGGGTCATTGCAGCTTATCTTTATCTTAAGCAAAATATTTCAGTTTTCCACAGAAGGGGCTTAGCTGAGGCTCTGAAATCATAACCTAGTTAGGAACTGTAGGATGACAGTTACTTGTGGGAAAGAATGTTTAGGAGTGCCTCGGGATCTTTCCCCAAGTCCACAGATAGGTCTATGTTGCACAAGTATGGAAATTACTTGAAATTGCTTCTCCTGGAAGTGCTTCTCCTGGAAGTGCCACCATGCCTAGTCACCAATTTCTTGGCTGGTTAGGAGGGCTTAAACACAGATAAGGACACAGAGTTTCTCAGACTGTTGTTGACAGCACCCGGGACTTTGGTGGTGTCCTTCGAGATCTGTGACATCTCAACAAACATGTTACAGTTCAGCATTTACATTTTATTGATCTAAAAAAAAAAGTAGGTCCATATGTTGGTCATTTGTAAGGGGCCCTCTAGACTAGCACTGCTCTGCTGGGGTCCTTCCCTGGCTCAGCCACCTGCAAGCTGAGTGACCTGGGGCACTTTGCTCACCTCCACCTTATCCCTGTGTTACAGAAAAGGGAGCGAGTGCCTGTGTTAACAGAACCCTGTTCGTAGGGAGTGCTCAGTTACAGACGCCAGCGCTCGTCTCTGCTCCTGTCAGTGATGACCCCTTTACAGCCACCAGTGCCACATAACTCCATGACCAGAGTGGTGTCTGCTGACACATTGGTGTAAGGGAACAGGCTGTAATGGTCTTTGGATTATATTGTAAGGGCTGCCCCCGAGCCGGTGAAGCATCTGTAGCAATTGGAACAAGAAGAGAGACAGGGAATCGGAGGCCTTGGTCGGGCCGCAGTCATGGAACACGTCACATGAAAAACCTGCGTGGATGGTGGCTCGCTGGGGCCAGTTACTGCAGCAGAGCGCCATCTGTATGCCAAGAAGTGTTGATCTGGATTTAGTTGGTATTGCAATTTTACATTTAATTCATAAATTAGTTTTGTTTTAATAGTTACACAGAGGACTGGTGCCTGGTTTTACGTTTATACCTATTTAAGTAGCATTGTGTTCAAAATGATTAAGTCAGCACTGGGGATGCATGAGATCTTTTTCCCCGTTAAAACACACCGTATGTTATTCAATTTTGAGAAATACTGGTAGAAATTACATCTTCATTTATAAATTTTGAGATGAGAGTATTGTTCCTGCCTCATGCCATCCTATTAGAGCAGTTTACCTGACTCCTTTGTCAACAGGGTCACAGTGGTGACAGCCGCCAGGATCAGGGGCAGTCTGGTCTTGGAGGAGAGCAAGGCGCGGATTCCCGGTCTGTGACCTCCTGACTTCCTTCCTCCAATTTTCAGGGAAGGGGGTGTTCTGCGAGAGGCCGCCCAGCTTGGACGGGCAGACTGCTGAGGCCTGCTTTGATGAAGCTGACAGGTGTGGGAAGCCTTTGGTCTGTGGATTTTACAAGTAAGAACAGTTTTCTCATGATTTTTTTTCTTAATTTTTAAATAAAATTACGCAGAATACCCAGGGTACTTTTTTTTAGAAACTAGCCCGCAGTCTCCAGCTCCGGTTCTCATTTGCAGAGGTGACAAACGGGGGTCCTCACTGGCTCCTCCTCGCGATGGTTTTGCTCTGAGGAGGCCCTGTAGTCGTAGGTGTGTGCAGAAAGGTGCAGACTTTGGGGCTGGTCCGCCTAGGTGCTCAGTTCTGTCTGTGCCAGGTGCCAGCGTGGTGACTGGGACCTTTTAGAGAAGTCTCTGAGCCGTTTTGTCATCTGCAGACTGCAGCTAATGTGGGTCACACTGCTGTTTATTGAACAGAGTCTAAGTGGCTCCTAGTTGCCAGGCACCCGTGCCAGGCATTGTCTGCCCACGAGCCAGAGTGGCCGTTGCCTGCAGGGAGCTTGCAGTCTGGAGAGCAGGCCAGACAAGAGGCGAGTGGGTGGACACATGCTTCAGTGCAGAGCCGGCTAGCGTTTGCAGTGTTCCGAGTGCACGGAGGAGGGACTGGGACATCAGTGAGGGCCAGCGTGCACCTGCCTCTCTCTGCCATGGGCAGCTGTCACAAGCATCCCAACTCAAGTGCTTCTGAAAGGGTTTTGAGGGACATGGCCCAGAAGAGACTGTGGTGTAAGATGTGGCTTCAGGAGCCCAGCTGGCCTGTGCCTGCACTTCTCAGTGGGCGTGGGCCAGGCCTGCCTCGTTTCCTGTCCTCTCTTCCAGGCGTTTTGACCCGGCTTTCCAGTTCTTGTACAGGCAGGTCCACGAGGAACACGCTCTGGGGCAGATCCACAGGATCGCCGCTGTCAGCAGCCTGTACCCGGCGGCTTCTCCAGCTTTCCTGAAGAGGGCAGGTGGGCATCGCATTGTGATTGAACCATGTTGTGGCGTCTGTGTCTGCGTGTGACTGTCACCTGGCTCCCCTATGAATAGAGGACCTCCAGTGATTCTCCCAGTAGCCGCCCTCGAGAGCAGAAGCTAGAGCTTGCTGTCCTTTGTGTCCAGGTGGGATTTTCTACAACGCTGCTGTGCATGACGTGGACGTCATCAGCATGTTGCTGGGGGAATCTGTTCCAGATGCCGTGTTTGCTTTGGGCCATGCCTTCTGCTCAGGTAAGAAGAGCGTGGTGTCCTTTTCCAAGGCTCCCCTTCATCCTCCGAGGCTGTTTGAAACCATAGTGTGGGCTTGGGACCCTTTTCAGGACTCTTATCCCCAACCTGAGCTTCGAGGAGCAGATAAAGTAACATGGGACATATGTATAAAAAAGGTTTATCAGTGGTCATGTCCCTGAGTTCCTCGGGCATTCCCAGTCGTCAGAAAGCGTCATGCAAGAAGTATTTCATGTTTGATGGTCTCTGAGAGTCACTATTTTAATCAATGTTTTCCTGGCACCTACCATGTGACAGGCCCTGCAGTTTCTGAGCTTGCAGAGAAGAACTGGACGAAGCCCCCATCTGGAAGGAGTCACAGCCGGGTTGGGGAAGTTCACAGGTGGAGGGGCTCGGGGTGGGGATGCGCAGCTCCCAGGCTCCAGCCCCTCAAGGGCTGATGAAGTGGACCAGCTACCTGCAGCTGCATGACATGCTTCTCCCACGTAATGGCTCAGAACAACAGCCACTTAGGAGCTCATGATTTTGCCAGCTGGGCTGGGCCAGGGTCCTCCTGCTGGTCTTGCCAGTGGTCATTCATGTGACTACAGCCAGCTGGCCAGTGGCCTGCCTGGGATGGCTCAGCCAGGGTCACAGGCAGGGTCTTCCTGTCACTTGGTTTCTCTTCCGTGTGGTCTCTGGGCCTCTCCCCCACAGTGTGGCCACACTTCCGATGGGACCTCTGGTTCCCTGAGAGCACCACAGTGGGAGTGCCCAGGCTTCTTTGGCTCAACCCAGCACTGGTGCAGCACCATGTTCACCGCAGTCTGTGGGTTGGGGCAAGTCCCCGCCCACCCCGATCCAAGGGGAGGGACTGCACAGGGGCGTGACCGCCGGAGGCAGAGGTCACCCGGAGTTACAAGGGGACCCATGTGCACAGGAAGAGCTGGTCAGACCCAGGGAAGAGCAGCGGGTGGGCAGGGTGAGAGGAGCCAGGCAGAAGGAGAGTCTGGGCGGAGTGAGGGGGTGGGCATCCTGTGACTCGTGGGCCATGTCTGTGCTCCAACAGGAAGTGAGAGCGCAGCCCTTAGAGCAGTGTTAGTAGGTGAAACCACGTGTCTTGGGTGTGGAGTGGGCGTGTGGGGCGAGGAGTGGAAGTGGGCGCCCAGCTTCTTAGGCTGGAGGTGCCGCGTGGTGGGCAGGGAGCTGCAGGTGGCTGTGTCCATAGAAAGGATGGCTTACGTTACACTGGAAAACACTTTAGCAAACTAGAGGACCGAGAAAGTCTGATGTCTGCCTCTTTTCCCCCAAAAAAGACCCACTGCTGAGATTAAGGGGTTTCTCAGGCCACATTTGGTGGGAGCAGGTTGGAGAATTCACCAGGGGGCTCTGGCTCACCAACCCCGCCTTGCCCCCACTCTCTTCAACCAGATGGCACCAGTGTTACCTGTTGGTATTGATTGGGCTTCTGCTGCTGCTTTAGAAAGATTTGAAAATTGCTTGTTCAGAGAAAAGGGTGTCATGAAAACCACTGGTCCACATGCTGGCCTGCCCGGGAGGATGGCAAGGCCAGGACACTCACACCACAGGCTGCCTCAGCTCTCATGCACGGCACACATGCGCATGTCCAACGTCAGCCCATATTTATCATCAGGCAGTTTTTAGATTGCCTCTAGAATCCAGCTATGGAAAACTCTTGGGTCTTTCCCGCACTTGGGGTTTGCGCCCATGTGGTGTAGACTTTTGTGTTGTCCATTGTCAGGAGCCTCCTGCTTGATGGTAACCCCCTGGGGCAGGAGCCATGTCTTAGAACTGTGTGTAGATAAGAGGGATCTTCAGAAAGTTCATGGAAAACGTGTATTGTGAAAAAACTATGCAGGGAGTGTAAAAGTTTTTTGCACCAAAATAAAATCCTACTAACTTGTTACAACATGTCTGCACAGAATCTAGTCTGAGGCACTGGGAAGGGTGACACATCAGTTTGAGAAGACCCCCTATCAGAGCAACATGAATTCTGCAAAAATTGAAGCAAGAACAAGCATCAAGTGTACAGTGAGGCTCAGGTGGAGGGATGGTGACATCACTGATGCTTCACAAAAAGTTTTTGGAGACAGTGCGCCAAGATAACAGCAGTTTACAAATGGATGACTCATTTTAAAAGAGGGAAGAAATGGTGGTGAAGATGAAACCTGCAGTGACAGACCAGCCATATCAATTTGTGAGGAAAAAATTAGTCTTGTTCGTGCCCTGATTAAAGAGGACTTACAATTAACAACAGAAGCAACAGCCAGCACCACAGACATCGCGCTGGGTCAGCCTACACGATTCTGACTAAGACAGTTGAGCAAACTCTCTGTTCAATGGGTGCTGAAACTTGTGCTCAGATCAGCTGCACACAAGGGCACAGCTTTCAATGGAAACTTTATGTGGGTGTGGTGTTGGTTGGTTGGTTTTTGGTGGCTGGCTGGTAATGGAATTTTAAACAAGTGGGATCAAGGTCCTGAATCATTTCTTTGAAGAACTGTAACAGGAGATGACACGTGGTTTTACCAGGACAATCCTGAAGACAAAGCACAATCAAAGCCATGGCTACCAGGAGGTGGAAGAGGTCCAGTCAAAGCCAGAGCAGACAGGTCAGGGACAAAGGTCATGGTGACAGTTTTCTGGGATGTTCAAGGCATTCTGCTTGTTGAATTTCTGGGCGGCCAAAGAACAATAACATCTGCTTATTTGAGAGTGTTCTGAGAAAGTTAACCAAACCTTTAGCAGAAAAATGCCTGGGAAAGCTTCACCAGAGAGTCCTCCTCCACCACGACAGTGCTCCTGCTCACTCCTCTCATCACACAAGGGCAATTTTGCAAGAGTTTCAATGGGAAATCACTAGGCATCTACCTAACAGTGCTGATTTGGCTGCCTCTGACTTCCTTTTGTTTCCTAATCTTAAACTTTAAAGGGCACCCATTTTTCTTCAGTTAATATTGTAGAAATGACTGCCTTGACAGGGTTAAATTCCCAGGACCCTCCGTTCTTTAGGGATGGACTAAATGGCTGCTGTCATCGCTTTCAAAAGTGTCTTGAACCTGATGGAGCTTATAGTGAGAGAGAGAGTTTATATTTTTAATCTCTATCTTTTAATTCCGTTTTTCCACGAACTTTGTGAAGTCACCTCATATGTGGCCAAGAATCCATTTTGGATTGACTGATTCATCAGCAGGAACTCCTATTTTCTCTCCGTTTTGCTGTTTGTTGTAAAGTCTGTACACCATGTTTTAAAAGAAAACTTGCATTTTGGGGGGGTATCATTAATTTCTAATTTGCCTAAACTAACTTTTGTATCTAAAATTTTCTTCTACCTAGATATGGCCTCCTTAAAAGAAGCCGATACCGTTGTGATCAGCATGAAATTTCCTGGTGGGGTTCTCGTTAGCTTGGACGTCAGCCAGCACTGTACGGACAGCTGCGATCAGAGACTGGAGGTGACTCCTCGCCCCCTTCCCAGCCCCAGCCGATTTTCATTATGAAAAATAGTTTGATTCTTACGGGTTAGACAGAAGTTATAATCTGGCCATGCCTTAGTCAGAGTTCATGCGGTAGGTGCGTCATTAGAAAGGTAATTAGTGTACAGTAGGTGCTCAGTATGTCTGTCTGCAAATGTTTATCTTCATTTAAAAAAAAATAATTTTAAACTTTTCAGCTAAGAGCCAAATTCTCCCTGTTTTGATAATAGATTCATTCTTTGGCCTTAATGCCTTAAGGAGTTGTTTTTGTGAAAGTGATTTTCCTTTACAAAATTGATTGTTTTTTCAATGAAACCTGTGGTTCTCCAGTTGATGCATGTGAAGCTCCTACCTCACATGTATCGCAGTGTTCCGTAGTACATGGTTGTAACTGTTTTGGAAAACAGGTGTCACCTGTCCTCCCACCCCCTCCCCTACAAAAAACCCCACCCCCAATGACACGTCACACAGATTAAAAAGTGCACTCTTCCCAGTTCTAGTCCTTCGCACATTTCACTCTCATCCAATGGTTCCAGGTGCGTGGGTCTCAAGGCACGCTGCGCATGGAGAATCAGAACTCCTTGGGCATCACTGGACATGGCCCTTCCCTGTCGCTCTGCCCCCAGACCCAGGCCGGACGCTATCAGGACGCATATCGAGAGCTCTTCAGACACTTTGTCAGAACGCTTAAAGGTGGGCAAGGTCCTCAGGAAGAACTTGGAGTGTGCTGACTTGTGAAAGTACTTGCTGTCAATGCAGCGGTTCTGCTACTGCAGGTGGAGAGTTGCCCTCCAGATACCAGGTTCAGACGTGGAGCTGCTGTCTGAGCAGTCGTTGTGCTGTACATGTTCTAGATGGTGCCTAACAGGCGCCCCGTGGGCTTGTGTGAATGTGCCACGTTGCTGCCTGATGTACTGGGGGAAGTGTTCTTGAGCTCTGAGCTTTATAAAATGATGGCTGCTCGCAAGCTCCTGGCATCTGGTGAACATCGTGTGTCCTGGAAGACAGGACACCTTCAGTTGGTCCTGGGAAGTGACTGGGAGCCAGGGAGGGGGTGCAGTAGTTCTGGATGGGGGGTTGGGCTCCTGAGGGGCAATGGACCTCCCTTAGAACCAGTTTTCTTTCCTCACATGGCCCCCTTGGGACTGTGGCCTCTTCACATCACCCAGCAAGAGGAGGAATGTCTTTGGCTCCAATGTGTTGGTTTTGAGCTAAATCTGTGCAAACATGCTCTCTGTCCAGGGACAGAACCTCCTCAAGTCACCAAAGAGCAGCTCCTCAGGGCCATTCAGGTAGTTGCCACTGCAGAGCAGTCCTGGCGCAGCCGGTCAGCCGTGAACCTGCCGAGTGAGGTGGCAGAGGCCTCCGTGGTCAAGACAGAAGCCCCGTGAACTGCCCCATGGCTCAAGCCAGTGTCCTGCCTGAGATCTGATCACCTGTTCCACCTCTACCTGTTACCAAGAGAGACAGAACCTTCCAGTGACGTTACTGCCACTGGAAACTAAGAAGGAAAGGCATTCGGAAACCGTTTCATTATTGGAGTAACTGGATTGTTTCAGGATGGGACCTCAGACGCGGGGGACAGAAGTTGCTGTTGCTTTTCTGTTTTGTTTTGAGCTCAGGCCTGGTACGTGAGGGATGCCTTCATGGTTGCAGTGACCTTGGCAGAGTCCTCGGAGTCCTGCTGGTTGGGTTGCTTAGGAAGAATGCGGGTCAGGATTTGGACCGTGTAAATGCATCTGGAAGCCTGCAGTGTCAGCTTTTCCACGCGGGAGCCGAGTGAAGGCTGGTTCTCCAGTAGACTGAGCCTCACGTGTGTGAAGCAGGCTGCAGGTTTTTTGGCCTCTTTTTTGGCAATTATAGCAGTATTAAAAAGCAAACAATTTTCTTGAAGAATCTGTGATTTTGTGCACAGTTATGTGCAGCACCATTCCTAAGAAATGTGATGAAATATTTGTATATGATATTAAAAACCCACTTTATGGGCCAACCCCGTGGCTCACTCGGGAGAGTGCGGCGCTGGGAGCACCGAGGCCGCGGGTTCGGATCCTATATGGGGATGGCTGGTGCGCTCACTGGCTGAGCGTGGTA